GTTGGTCATCATTTTTGTTCTTGGTATGATGTTTTGAAGCATGTATCTTTCACTGCCCTTTACAAACTGCCTCACTCGAGAAAGCGTCTGTCTCTTACAAAAACCTTTTCCTTTCCTTTTTTCCCTTTTTCTCTCGGGAAAGATCACAGACATGAAAAGGAAGCGAGTCCCGTGCTTAGAGCAGAGCAGAAGGGCGTCGAGTTGGGGTTCTTGCACTTGCTGTTTGACTTTGTGGATAGAATTGATGATATTTTATAAGCTTTCAAATTTCACTGGTAAAGAAGACATCTCCCACCAGCCTGCAGGCAGGATAGAGAGCATTCAGTTCATGAAATAATAACAGTGAAGATATCAGGGTTTTTCTCTTGTGAGAAAAAGATGAGAAAGTCCTGGTCACAGCCCTTGCAGCACTCCCACGTGGTTTGCTGACCTTTTATACTCATCCCCCCCCCCTTTGCTTTTAAAGTTCAGCAAGTCAGTTCAGACCGAATTGTGCTGCCACCCACAGAGTGTTAGAGTCAGTGTTGTTTGGCTGAGATGAGACCATGGCTTTCCTTGTCTTTTTGTCCTGGTGATTGAATCCAGGGGCACTTTGTCACTACATTGCTTAGGGCCTCACTAAGTTGCTGAGGCTGACCTCAAACTTGGGATCCTCCTGCCTCAGCCTCCTGAGTTGCTGGTACTACAGGCCTGTGCCTCTGTGCTCAGCTTTATTTCTCTTGACTTTTAAAGCTATAATATCCTAAAGTTTTTTATGTACACCACCCCTGAAAGATGTTGATTTCGTTGTTTAAAAAACATGAAAAGTTTTGAGAGCTTATTTGAGTACATTTTGCATTCATTTTTAGAGCTCCTGTGAATTGCCAAATTCTTACCTCAGTGTTTGTTAACCCCCGGCCCTTACAGAATTCATAGTCTAGAAAGGGAGACACATAGTAATAATAAAAATAATATAATAATGATGAAAATTACTACCTATTTTCTCTGTGCCAGCCATTAGTCCGAGTCCTTTATATGTATCACTTTGTTTAATCCTTATAATTACACTATGGGATTGCTAAAGTTTGAGTCCCTGTCTTATAGATGAGGAAACAGAGGCACAAAATCATGAATTATTTATACAAGCTAATTGGTACAAAGCCTGATTTCAGGGAGATATGTAAAATTTTAGAAAATAGATAGTAAACTGAGTTTTTGAAATCGGGTAGATTTGGAGAACACAGGATAACTACATAGCTGGTTCAGTATCACAGGAACATGAGAAAAAAATTAGGGGTTAAGTCCTAGGCAAAGGATGAAGGCAAGGGATGGAGGCAGTTAATGCACCAGGATAAGCAGTTCAGCTTTTATTCTGTTGTGCTACGAAGCCGCTAAAGGTTTCAAACAGAATGGTGATGAGATCAGCAGTCTGGTTTACAAAGATCCTGGGCAACAATGCTAGGAATAAGCTGATGAAAGAGCTGAGAACAGGGCTAGTCCTGCTGGAGCTGAGGTCAAGTGAAGAAAGCCTCAGTTAAGAGGCAAATGGAAAGTTGACCAACACGAACAGTATTTTGGAAACCCTAAGACAGACAAATAGTAAAACTTGGGGACTGAGCAATAGTGAGACACTCAGGGCGAATCTCATGAACTGACTAGTGATACTGGGTGATCCCTAGTACTACTTCACCAGACAGGGAATACAGCAGGAGAAGCCAGCTGGGGAAAGAGGAATGAGCTCAGAATTGGATTAGGTTGAACTGTAGACTACGTAGGGTCATCTGGGTAGAAAAACCCAACAAGTGACTAAAATATCAATCACAGGAATGATGGCCAGACTGAAGACCCAGACTCGGGGACCATCAGCTAAAACGAGACAGCTGAAGTTGTAGGTGTAGATGTGATCACTGAGCAAACCAAAGACAAAGCCCTGGGTCAGCGGCATTGGGTAGAAGAGGAGGAAGAGAGGCTGTCATGGGGTAAACCAGGAAAGACAGGATATCAATGCCCAGTTATATAAGACATCAAGCTGAGTGTTTTGGGTAGGAAAAGGATGAATCCTATGCATGGTATTGGCATCAAGAGTATCAAGAGGGCTGGGGATGTGGCTCCAGCGGTAGCGC